TTTACATACTTTCAGATGTTGAAAAAACGTATATATACGTTTGGACCATTTAAGGGTTAAGGAATGCAAAATGGAACTCTGTGAAACATTAACTAATATTTTTAATTTATCTCTTCAAACAGGTGTAGTGTCTGATATGTGGAAGATGGCTAATGTAATTCCTATTTTTAAAACAGGGGACAAGTCGTTACCATCAAATTACCGCCCAATAAGCCTGACCTCAATTGTAGGCAAATTACTAGAGTCAATTATAGCTGAGATTATAAGAAGCCATCTCGATAAGCACAGCTTGATTAATGATACTCAGCATGGATTCACAAGAGGCCGGTCTTGTCTAACTAATTTATTAACTTTCTTCTGAAAAGCTTTTGAGGTTGTTGACCAAGATAAAGAATTTGATATTATTTACTTAGATTTTAGTAAGGCTTTTGATAGTTCCACACCAAAGACTGTTAAAGAAAGTGGCAGCTCTTGGCATTAGGGGAAAAGTGCTCTCGTGGATCGAGTCATGGCTCACAGACAGGAAGCAGAGTGTCCATAAATGGGGTTAAATCCGAGTGGGGATCTGTAACAAGTGGCGTTCCACAGGGATCAGTCTTGGGCCCATTGTTGTTTATAATATATATCAATGATCTTGATGAGGGAATTACTAGTGACATGAGCAAATTTGCCGATGACACAAAGATAGGAAGGCTAATTGATTCAAACGAAGATGTTAGGGAACTTCATGAGGATTTAAACATACTCTATTCTTGGTCAGAAAAGTGGCAGATGCAGTTCAATGTAGATAAATGCAAGGTTCTGAAGCTCGGGAGTATCCATAACCCTAGCACTTATAAGTTAAATGATGTAGAACTTAGCCATATAGATTGTGAAAAGGACTTGGGGGTTATGGTGAGCAGCAACCTTAAACCAAGACAGCAATGCCTAAGTGTACGTAATAAGGCAAATAGATTACTGGGATTTATATCAAGAAGTGTAAGCAACAGAAGTCCAGAGGTCATACTGCAGCTTTATACATCATTAGTAAGGCCTCACCTAGATTATGCAGCTAAATTCTGGTCTCCATATTACAGAATGGACATAAATTCGTTAGAAAACATTCAGCGTAGGATGACTAAATTAATACATAGCATTAGAAATCTTCCTTATGAAGAAAGATTGAAGACTCTTAAGTTACATTCACTTGTTAGACGAAGAATGAGGGGAGACCTGATCGAAGTGTATAAGTGGAAGATAGGTATTAATAAAGGGGATATTAACAAGGTCTTGAGAATATCTCTCCAAGAGAGAACCCGCAGTAATGGATTTAAATTAGATAAGTTTAGATTTAGAAAGGACATAGGAAAGTATTGGTTTGGAAATAGGGTAGTAGATGAGTGGAACAGTCTACCTAGTTGGGTTATTGAGGCTAGGACTTTGAACATAAGAACATAAGAAAGGAGGAACACTGCAGCAGGCCTGTTGGCCCATACAAGGCAGGTCCTTTACAATTCATCCCACTAACAAAACATTTGCCCAACCCAATTTTCAATGCTACCCAAGAAATAAGCTCTGATGTGCAAGTTCCACTCAAATCCTACCCCTTCCACTCATGTACTTATCCAACCTAAATTTGAAACTACCCAAAGTCCTAACCTTAATAACCCAACTAGGTAGACTGTTCCACTGAACATTAAAATGGTATAAAATACCGACAGGTTGTTAGGTAAGACACATATGCAACAGTTAGGTATCTTTATTGTGAAACGTTTCGCCTACACAGTAGGCTTCTTCAGTCAAGTACAGAAAAGTTGATAGAAGCAGAAGATACTTGAAGACGATGTAATCAGTCCATCACCCTTAAAGTTTTGAGGTGGTCAGTCCCTCAGTCTGGAGAAGAGCATTGTTCCATAGTATGAAACAATATGGAGAAGATGTGACAGGATGGAGCTTTTATAGCGCCAAGAGGTGAGACGTAGGCCACTAGGAGAGGTAAGAACTCAGATGTTGAGAAGGCAGGTCCCTCTCAAATCCAGCCTCTCTCACTGGTGGAAGTTGTCGAAGTTGATTGCAGGTCTGTACCAAGATACCCCTGTGTTGCAGTGTCTGACAGATTGAACATTAAAATGGTATAAAATACCGACAGGTATATTTCGCCTACTGTGTAGGCGAAACGTTTCACAATAAAGATACCTAACTGTTGCATATGTGTCTTACCTAACAACCTGTCGGTATTTTATACCATTTTAATGTTCAGTGGAACAGTCTACCTAGTTGGGTTATTAAGGTTAGGACTTTGGGTAGTTTCAAATTTAGGTTGGATAAGTACATGAGTGGGAGGGGTTGGATTTGAGTGGGACTTGCACATCAGAGCTTATTTCTTGGGTAGCATTGAAAATTGGGTTGGGCAAATGTTTTGTTAGTGGGATGAATTGTAAAGGACCTGCCTAGTATGGGCCAACAGGCCTGCTGCAGTGTTCCTCCTTTCTTATGTTCTTATGTTCAAAGTCCTAGCCTCAATAACCCAACTAGGTAGACTGTTCCACTCATCTACTACCCTATTTCCAAACCAATACTTTCCTATGTCCTTTCTAAATCTAAACTTATCTAATTTAAATCCATTACTGCGGGTTCTCTCTTGGAGAGATATTCTCAAGACCTTGTTAATATCCCCTTTATTAATACCTATCTTCCACTTATACACTTCGATCAGGTCTCCCCTCATTCTTCGTCTAACAAGTGAATGTAACTTAAGAGTCTTCAATCTTTCTTCATAAGGAAGATTTCTAATGCTATGTATTAATTTAGTCATCCTACGCTGAATGTTTTCTAACGAATTTATGTCCATTCTGTAATATGGAGACCAGAATTGAACTGCATAATCTAGGTGAGGCCTTACTAATGATGTATAAAGCTGCAGTATGACCTCTGGACTTCTGTTGCTTACACTTCTTGATATAAATCCCAGTAATCTTCAGCTTGGTTCCATGTTGCCCGACCACTGACCAAGCTCCCTTCTTAACCTGGGGACTCACAACAGGTGGATTACTACGAATCCTCTTGTTCTCCTCCGTTAATCGCCGTATCTCCAGTTTAGCAACTCTGAGTTCTTCTCTCAGCTGCTGGTAAAGCTGCTCAAGAGAGGGCATCCTGGTTCAGATTCACAGAGAGCACACAAACAGGTCTTCACAGAGCTAAGTACACGTCACCACTTGGGTAGCATTGAAAATTGAGTTGGGCAAGATAAAGAAGTGATTAAGGTCCCTGGACCGATATGTTTTCTAATAAATATGTCACAGTGTTTGCTTACGTGTCTTTCTAAACCAACTTGTCAGTATTTATTACCATGTCTTCCTGTGTAAAAACTGACAAAAAATAGTCATTAACCCTTTGACTGTTTCCGACGTATAAATACGTCTTAGGAGCCAATGTTTCTGACATATTTATACGCATAAATTCTAGCAGCTTCAAATCAAGCAGGAGAAAGCTGGTAGGCCCACATGTGAGAGAATGGGTCTCCATGGTCAGTGTGCACCATATAAAAAAAATCGGGGAGCCAGTGGTGCATTGTGGGAATGCCATTTCAGTTGTCCATTTCAGCATGTCTAGCAGTAAGAAGTATGTGATTCCCCAGCAAATCTGGGACTCTTCTCTTCCCAAGTGATGCTCTAACACAGATGTTAGTGTCAGTGAAGATCAATTTCATGATTTGGAGGAGTTTGAGACCAAAAGCAATGGAGGAGGAGGAGGGGGAGGAGGGGAGGAAGAGGAGGAGGAGGGGAGGAAGAGGAGGAGGAGGAGGAGAAGAGGAGGAGTAGGAGGAAGAAGAAGATGTAATAATATTGTTCCCTTGAAGCAAGAAGAAAAAAAGTCCACCCCATGACAGTGACAAGATAAGGGGAGATAACATCTGATAAGAGATGACTTTGATGAGCATAAACGAGGGTAGAGCTAAGGAAATATTACATGACCATCGCCCTCCCTGTGTTTTTGCTGGTACACAAACATTTCTGTGACTATTTGTCAAGCTCCCTGTCTGTCCATCTAGCTCTCTGTCTCAGAGAGAGCCACAAGACTGTGGAGGAGGAGGAGGGAGGGAGGGAGGGAAGGAGGGAGGAGGGGAGGAGGAGGAGGAGGAGGGAGGGAGGAGGGGGAGGGAGGAGGGAGGAGGGAGGGAGGAGAGGGAGGAGGGAGGAGGGAGGGGAGGAGGGAGGAGGGAGGAGGAGGAGGGAGGAGGGAGGGAGGGAGGAGGGAGGGAGGAGGGGAGGGAGGAGGAGGAGGGAGGAGGGAGGAGGGAGGGGAGGGGAGGAGGGAGGAGGGAGGAGAGGGAGGGGAGGGGAGGAGGAGGGGGAGGGAGGGGAGGAGGGGAGGGGAGGGGGGGGAGGGAAGGAGGGAGGGGAGGAGGGAGGTGGGGGGGAGGAGGGGGGAGGGAGGAGGAGGTAGTTGGGAGGAGGAGGAGGAGGTGGAGAGGAGGAGGAGGAGGAGGAGGAGGAGGAGAAGGAGAAGTACCCATGGCAAAAAATTTTTTTTTTTGGGACTAAAACACTCAGAAAAATAATCTTAACATTTTCATAAGAAAAAATAAATTTTTTTTTTTTAATATTTGGCGACATAGAATGACAGTTTCAGAGAGGGGCCTGAAACAGTCAAAGGGTTAAATAAGGAACACATCTCCAGTTCGTTTATGCTGGCAATCACTACAGAGACAGTGGGGCTGGGTAGATGCTGCATATCGCAAGCCCAGGAACAGATAAAAATTCAAAGTTTCATGGCTACTGAATGTGAATTATCGCACCATCATAAAGTCGAAATATCATAAGCTGAACCATCGTAAAGAAAGAAGCCCCATACATACAAGGGGTTAGTGTACATGCATGCAAGTTATTTCATCAACTTGTTAGTACTACATATTTTTTACCTAATGATTTGAGGCATAATAATAAGTAACACTGACCAAGATAGATTTAAACTTAACATCTATTAATGACAGAGAACATTCTCTCCACTTCAAGACTTACTTCATTCGTTGGCGCCGTTGTTCCCGCTTAACTGCCAAAATGTGTGCTAGATCATACTCATCCTCAGCAACATGCCGGCTTATGTTTGCATTTAAGCGCAGAAATGTGGTCAAACGAGGTGGACCTAGAACTAAAGAAAAAACTATTTAAAACAAGAAATTTATTACTATAAAGCTATGTAACAAAATCAATAAAACTACTCTTAAGTATGTGTTGTCACAAATAAATCTGTATATGCAATACCTGTGGTTTGTGCAAACAACCTAGTTCAATATGAAAAATATTACTACAACAGTTTTTTTAAGTGTTTACTATTTCTATTTTCCTCATCAGATCATCTGCATAAGTTAATACAGCCTCTCCTCACTTAACGACGGAGTTCCGTTCCTAAGACCACATCAGTAAACGAATTTGTCGCCGAGTGAGAAGCATACTATGATGAGATAAAGATGAAGATTTACAGTGGACCCTCAGTTAATGATATTAATTCATTCCAGAGAGCTTGTCCTAAACCGATTTTATCGTTATCCAAATTTATTTTCCCCATGAGAAATAATGGAAATCTAATTAATCCGTTTCAGACATCCAAAAGTATTAAACAAAATAATTTTTTTACATGAAATACACATTTCCTTACACAGAAAACAATGATACATGAAGAATAAAACAATAATAACATCACACTTACCTTTACTGAAGACATAGTGATGTATGGAAGACGGGAGGAGGGGAGAGGATGGAGGAGTTTGCAATTGTTTGGAAGGGGAATCCCACTCCATAAAGATTTCAGGTACCAAGTCCTTATCCAGGGTTCCTTCCCTCCTTTGTTTTTTAATAACACTAGGACCAGCTTGAGAGCCACTGGACCCCTGTCACTCAAAAGAAGTTTTCCAGAGAGGTCTGTTTCTGGCATATGTTAGGAATTGTGTTGGGAGACACAAGATAGTCCTTCAATATGACACTAATATCAGCTCTACAGCTTATTTATCTAGCACAATTCATTTGATATAACATAATAAACAATATTAATAACAGAAATATGACATATACTCTAGAATGAATAAAATACGCCATTAAAAACCATACCACGGGCAGGGACAGAACCCGTGATCAGAGGGTTCTATCCCTGCCCGTGGTATGGTTTGTTTGCAATCGTGTCATTATGATTTCGTGAGCCAAGTTACGCCATTAAGTATGTCACTAATGTTGCTGTGTTGTTGTTGTTGGGTGTATAAGGGGCACTGAGAGCATCAGCCGTACATAGTGGTGAAGGGAGGTGGCAGCAGAAGCGGTAGAGACGGTGGTGTTGTCAGTCGCTCTACATAACTCCAACAACATTGGAGGAGTTAGGTTTGTGCTGTCCTTTTTCTATCGATTAATCGCTTAACTTACTTGCTACAGTTAATGCTACACTTTATCGCTGGCTGCCGCTATAGCCTTTATAGACTCGTGCTGCTTTAGTATCGTACTTATTGAAGAATCACTGAGAAAGGCACATTCTCCCCTCTCTCTCTGCCCTTTACCAAAAGGGCTGGCTAGCACTAGAAGCTTTCTTTGGGCCCATGGTGGCTTATTTAGCAGTTACAAGCACTAAAAATAATGGAATAATACAAAATGTATTGCACGTATGCGTGGAATCATCCACAGTGGCTTGTAAACAATGGCACACTAGCCATACTGGAGTGGCCGGGCGACTCAGGCCGCGTGGACACGTTCTTGACAAATGTCCTTAACCGAGTTTTTTATCGTTAGCCGAGCCAATACATGTATTTTGATGCAAAAACATATCGGTAACCGATTTTATCGCTAACCGATGGCATCGGTAACTGAGGGTCCACTGTATTTCCTTGTATAGGTTACAATGTGTAATTACAATTTTGGTTTGTTAAGTACAAAGAAAGCCGCTATCATGTCAGGACATTTCAGGCAGTCTAATCCTAGTACACAGTAACTAATTAAAACTAGACATGTGGACCCTTGGTTTTCGTGAGTCTTGGTTATCATGAATTTAGGTTATTGGCAACCTTTTTTCGTCAAAATACAGTGGACCCCCGACTTACGATATTAATCCATTCCTGAGAGCCCATCATAAGACAAAATGATCGTAGGTTGAATTAATTTTCCCCATAAGAAATAATGGAAATCAAATTAATCCGTTAACCCTTTCAGGGTCCAGAGGCCAAATTTCAGAGGGTGCACCAGTGTCCAAGAATTTAAAAAAAAAAAAATTGTTATTTTTTCTTATGAAATGGTAGAGAATCTTTTTCTGAAGGTAATAAAACAAAAAGTATGAAATTTGATGGAAAATTGACGAAATTATGCTCTCACGAATTTTGATGTGTCAGCGATATTTACGAATCGGCGATTTTGCCAACTTTGACTCCCATTTTAGGCCAATTACATTATTTCAGTCAACCAAACTCTTAGCTATTTCACTAGTATTACTTCTATTCTATCCACTGAGCACAGGAAATCGCCCAGTCAACTGTTTCAACTACAAAATAATGTGATTGGAAATAGGTAATTTGGCCAATTTAACACAAAGTTCAAAATATTCCAATTTCAAAATAGGGTCCAGAATAAACAATGCAGGCATTCCTGGCACTAAACTAACATTTCCTCTGCTCATTAGTTATGTTTTCAGGCTTTACAAATGAATTCCGTTTTGATTTTTTATTCACATAATGAATTTTTATTCAAACCAAAAAATAGAAGATTTACTGTTATGCAATATTGTAATAATTGTATAAATATCATCATTACATTTGTGAATGTACATTAGACCCACCAGCTGGCGTGTATTAGACGTGTGAGGTCATTTGTTTACTCTCGAACATCGACAAAAATTTAACATTTCCGCTACTTTGAGCTCAGTTCCAAGCCATTTCCAGTACTAAAACCAATCAAAATCATCTCTACTTCTGTAATATGTCTTCCATTCTATCGAATGAGACCAAGAAATCGCAAATATACCTGTAAAAAACATACGAAAAAACACTGCAAAGTCGCTGTTTTAATCGAAAATCACAGTCAGTTTTTTTTCTCTCATTATACACTGTGTGCTGCAGGATTTGTTTTATGTGGTGCACACATAAAACATAGATGTATTCTCTCATATCTAGGCCCAAATTTACCACTCAGCTTTTCAGAGTAAGCTGAGCTCATGGCGTAGATCAATGGTTTGGACCCTCAACGTATAGCCGTAGATTACGGGACGGACCCTGAAAGGGTTAAAGACACCCAAAAGCATGAAAAAATATAAAATTTACCACATGAAATATACATTCTCCTACACACAAAAAGGATACATGCACAATATATACTGCGAATGTACTAGTGTACGAATAAATGACACTTACCTTTATTGAAGCTGTGGTGATGAGTGATGAGACACTCTGTCCTGGGAATGTCTTTTCCTCCTGAGTAATGTAGGTCCTGTTGGCATTTTCTTCCAGAACAGGCCTCATCACACTGTGTATGCCACTATGATTCTTAAATCTCTCAAACCAACCTTTGCTGGCCTTAAATTCACCAATATGAGCACTAGTTCCAGGCATTTTTTCCTGTTCACCTGGGTGTTAGTCGACTGGTGTGGGTCACATCCCGGGAGACAAGATTAAGTGCCCCAATGGAAATAAGTTAGACAGTCCTTGATGACACACTGACTTTCTTGGGTTATCCTGGGTGGCTAACCCTCTGGGGTTAATTGTTTCTCGGATTTCTAGATAAACCACACCAACAACAGTCTCTCCACATCTTCAATTAGTGCAGCTGACCAAGGTACAGCAGCAGCAGCAGCTGACCAAGGTACAGCAGCAGCAGCAGCTGACTGTGGTACGATGGTACATTTCAATAGTATTTCTCACCCTTTTTACCACAGGGTTGACACTAGAAGCTTTCTTTGGGCCCATGGTGGCTTATTTAGCAGTTACAAGCACTAAAAACACTGGAATAATACAAAATGTACCGATTGTATGAGTGGAACTGACTGGAATGGCTTGTAAACAATGCCACACTAACTGAAGGCAGGGCAGCTGAGGCACGCTCAGGCCAGACAGACATGTGGATGCGTTTGGGACGAATGTTGTTAGTCCATTTTTCATCGTAGGCTGGGCCAAAATTTTTACGCTCAAACACATTGTTAGAGGATTTTATCATTAGACGATGCCATCGTTAGTCGAGTGTCCACTGTATATGTACTTGTACACTTGGAGAAGAGATGGTGGCAGAGGGTAGGTGTGGAGGAGGTTGAGTGTAGGCGAGGTTGAGGGTGGGAGATTCACAGTGCAGCATATGGTGTTAGTGGCCCTATAAACCTCCAACAACAACATTGTTTTGTTTCATCACTGAACTTAATTTGTTTTATCACTTAACTGATACAAATTGTTTTGTTAAATCACTTAACATAACTGATACAATTTTTGTTAACCCTTAAACTGTCCAAATGTAGATCTACGTTCACGTGCGTAGCGCTCCGACCTTGATTTTCCCCATCTGAAAGCATATATAAAAAAAAAAAGTAGATCTACGTTCGGAGCCCCCGCACATGGATGTAGATCTACGTTTGAACAGTTTAAGGGTTAAATCATTGAACAAAACTTACACAATTTGTTTTGTTTAACTTTTCACTTCTTTCACTTGTTCTTACTTTTCACTGCCTCGTGCCTTCTCGCAGATGATACCCTCAGTCACGGTATCCCCTACGAGCTGCTTCTCTCTCAATCACGTCAGCAGCAGCTTCTCCATCTTTTCATGGACAGAGGTCCGCAGCTTAGACATTATTGTAACGCCCTTGGCTGGCGCTATAGCCTTTATCGACTCCTGCTGCTTTAGTATCGTACATATAGTAGATGTACTTCGCTGGTATTGTCTGGCTAAACCCACAACTTGTGCACCTTGCTTATGTTTATCTATGATTTCATGCTTTAATTCAATGGAAATTATCATCTTTTTCTTCTCAGCATTGTCCTTTGCACTTATTTTCTGAGGACCCATGGTTAGAAAAGCGAAATTTGGCCAAATGGCTGTCAAAAATGTAAGCAAAGCAGGACAGAACTGCTCCCACAGAGATGTAAACATGTGTACTGCTTACCAGATGTTTTGAAATCAGCTGTGCCAACTAGCGGCAGCATTCTTAAATATTATTATGTACGTGTTATGTACATAATACATTATTATTATTTTTATAATTATTATTATTACTATTAATTTAGGGAACTAGAGCACATATCCAATTCCCTAGATCAAGAGCCCCTCACCAGCGTCAAGAAACCTTGACGCTGGCGAGAGGCTTCAGTTCCCTAAATTATCAATAATAATAATTATTACAATAACAACAGAGTTTCAGTTCCCTAAATTAATAATAATACATTATAATAACAAGAGATTCAGAACAAAGCCAACTCAGTGCACTGTTTGCCTAGTTGTGGGAGCAGTTCTCTCCTGCTTTGCTTACATTTTTGAGTCACCTGGCCAAATTTCACTTTTCTAACCATGGGTCCTAAAAAATTAAGTGTAAAGGACAGTGCTGAGAAGAAAAAGAGGATGATTTCCATGGAATTAAAGCATGAAATCAAAGATAAACAATAGAGGTGTCCAGGTTTTGGGTTGAGGGGGAAGTGGGGAGGAGCTACCTCGTAACTCAGAGCAAAATCGACCAATCGACGGTTCATATCTCAAAAAACTCGTACGCTGGGACACTCGTAAGTCAAGGTTCCACTGTATATGTACACTGCACCTTACTTTGGTCTCACAGGCCACATAAGTTACTTGAAAAAATAAAATATTGGAAAATACAAGAAACCTTCAAATGGGAGTAAAAATAATTTTACCGGGGGGGGGGGGGTCTTAAAACAATCAGCAAATTAATCTTAACATTTTGGTAAGAAATTTTTTTCGAATATTTTGTGACACAGAGAGACACTTTAGGATTTGAGGTCGCAACAGTCAAAGGGTTAAAAACCCGTAACAAAAAGATTGGGGTGTTTTTTTTGGGGGCTGGAACAAATTAATGGCATTTCAATTAATTTCAATGAGGAAAATTGATTTGACATACAACCAAATTGAGTTACGAGCTCAGTCAGGGAACGAATTTAACTCGTGAGTCAAGGTACCACTGCATTAGAAAAGACAAAGCAGAATAAAAGTAAAAATAATATTACCAAGTGAGAGGCAGTCGCCAGTGTTGCCGTAAGTGGCTCAATTTCTGTCAACTTCACGCCTCTATATCTCAGTAACTAGCGATCACCAATTTTTTTTTTCCTTTTAAAACATTCCGAAAGATATTCTTAAGATTTTGGTAAGAAAAATAATTGAGATGAGGGCTGCTAACAGTGAAAGGGTTAATCTAACCAATCAACAAGCAAAAGGACTCCCAAATATTAAAAAAGAAAAGCATTCATCTTCATTTACAGATGAAGATTGACTGTACACACAAGGCCAGATGCCTGTAGTGAAGGTCAAGTTAGAATGTGGGAACTAATCAGAAACTTGGAAGATGGACAAAATGATACAGTATATCTCCCAGGTTCACCTTGGCTGTTCCAGTGGCAACTTACATAATAAATTTGAAAAATGCAGCTTTCAAAACTGCACAATAATCTACACAGCTTTAAAAATAATTCACCTAATCTAAATATGAAAGATTACATTACTGTGTGCAACTCACCTTTTCCACCATGTGGTGCCATTCTTCAATGATCTCGGGAACCTTCAAGTCTGCTGAAGTAGGAAATATCAAACAAATATTATTTTAAGTATTGGAAAAAATACAGCAAACCTCATTCTCAATTATTATTATTATTATTATTATTCAGGGGGAACATTAAACCTGTATGGGTCATACAAAAACTGACCTACACTACCCGACTACCTGATAAGTGACCTGTGTTGTAAAACAGGTATTTCTTTCTTCTTTGGAACTCTTCGAAAACCTGAAAATAAAATTTTATATTCAGAATTATATTACAGTATTGATATATAGGAAATAAACTACATAACATTTTTTAACACACCACTTGTCTGCCATTGACGTAGAGTGACCTGAAAAAGAAGAAACACTTTTACCCAGAAAATATATAGTCATCCAGATAATAGTAAACAGAAAGCTCTCAGCAGTACACTCATAACCACTAGATTACAATGCTATAACACTAACTTGCAAGGGATAAAGGTTCAAAACCTGGATAAATCATGGTTTCAATGAGACCTAAAAATAGACCTGGAAAATCCTATCAGAAATTCTAGGAATAAAAAAGATATCAGGAAATAGCGCAAATGAACTAACAAAACCAGATGAACCGCAACTGCCACCAATTGAGACAGTAAACAGACTTGATGTTTTCTTCTCCACCATAGGAAAAAAACTTGCTGATAAAATCCCAAGCTCAAATACTGCACCCAATGACTACCTCACTGGCAACTACCCGAACACACTGTTCCTAGCTCCGACTAACCCAACAGAAGTCTCCCTTATTATCAACACACCAAAAAAAAAAAAGACAGGAGATTTAAATACCTTACCACCCTTTACATACAAAAAGCTTCATAAGTGCTGTCACCAATCATTGCAACACTCTTTAACAAATCCATCGAATCCTCTACCTTCCCTACAGTTCTCAAAATAGCGAGGGTCACCCCGATACATAAAGGAGGAGACCAAACAGACTTGAATAAATATAGGCCAATATCCAACTTACACCCTCTCTCTAAAATCTTTGAAAAATTAATTCATATGCGAATCTATTCCTACCTCATCTCCCACAACGTACTCAACCCCTGTCAGTTTGGATTCAAGCCTAATAAAATACGAATGATGCTATTATACACATGCTTACACAAATATACACTGCACTCGAGAAAAAAGAAGTCCCACTGGGGATCTTCATTGATTTTCGTAAAGCTTTTACTATGGTATAAAAGGGCACTCCCTCAACTACCTAAAGTCATACCTCAGCAACAGAAGCCAATATGTGTATACAAATGGAGCAAACCCTTCCACACAGTCAATTACAGTTGGTGTCCCACAGGGAAGTGTCTTTGGCCCTCTTCTCTTTCTCATTTACATAAATGATCTACCAAATGCATTGCAACTACTCTAACCCACACTATTTGCAGATGACACTACATACATTTTCTCGCACCCAAGCCCAGTCACGCTAGCCAATACTGTAAATACTGAATTACAGAAAATATCTACCTGAATGATGACTAACAAACTTACTCTCAACACTGACAAAACCTACTTCATTCAGTTTGGTAACAGAGCTACAGGTGTCCCTCTTGACATAATGATAAGCGGATCACCTATCACAAAGCTCACAGAGGGAAAATTCTTAGGAATCCACCTTGATAATAGTCTCAAATTTCAAAAACATGTACTATGCCCCACAGTCAGCCCTCCTGGCCCTGTATCACTCGCTCATTTACCCCTATCTCACCTATGGAATTTGTGTATGGGGCTCAACAACAATAAACCATCTCAGACCATTAACCCTTTCAGGGTCCAAGGCCCAAATCTGGAGTCACGCACCAGTGTCCAAGAATTTTCAAAAAAAAAATTTGTTATTTTTTCTTATGAAATCGTAGAGAATCTTTTTGTGAAGGTAATAAAACAAAAAGTACGAAATTTGGTGGAAAATTGACGAAATTATGCTCTCGCGAATTTTGATGTGTCAGCGATATTTACGAATCGGCGATTTTGCCGACTTTGACTCCCATTTTAGGCCAATTACATTATTCCAGTCAACCAAATTCTTAGCTATTTCACTAGTATTACTTCTATTCTATCGATTGAGCACAAGAAATCGCCAAGTCAACTGTTTCAACTACAAAATAAGTGATCGGAAATTGTTAATTTGGCCAATTTAACACAAAGTTCAAAATATTCCAATTTCAAAATAGGGTCCAGAATGAACAATGTAGGCATTCCTGGCACTAAACTAACATTTCCTCTGTTCATTAGTTATGTTTTGAGGCTTTACAAATAAATTCCATTTTGATTTTTTATTCACATAATGAATTTTTATTCACACCAAAAAATAGAAGATTTACTGTTATGCAATACTGTAATAATTGTATAAATATCATCACCATATTTGTGAATGTATATTAGACCCACCAGCTGATGTGTATTAGACGTGTGAGGTCGTTTGTTTACTCTTGAATATCGGCAAAAATTTAACATTTCTGCTACTTTGAGCTCAGTTTCAAGCCATTTCCTGTGCTAAAACCAATCAAAATCATCTCTATTTCTGTAATATGTCTTCCATTCTATCAAATGAGACCAAGAAATCGCAAATACAACTATAAAAAACATACGAAAAAACACTGCAAAGTTGCTGTTTTAATCGAAAAATCATGATTTCATTTTTTTTCTCTCATTATACACAGTGTGCTGCAGGATCTGTTTTATGTGGTGCATACATACCACATAGATGTATTCTCTCATATCTAGGCCCAAATGTACCACTCACAGTTTATCAGAGTGAGCTGAGCTCATGGCGTAGATCTACGGTTTGGACCCTAAACGTAAAGCCGTAGATCTACGGGACGGACCCTGAAAGGGTTAATTACCCAACAAAAGGCTGCAGTCAGAATGATAAAAATTCCCACAACAGGCAGCACACTCCACCAATATTCAAAACTCTAAACTTACTCACCGTACAAAACATCCATCTCACACTATGCAAAAACTCAATGCACATAAGCCCAAAAATCTGGAATTCATTACCTGTGAACATAAAAGAAACACTGTCTGTTTATAAATTCAAATCTCTTCTTAAAAACCACTTATTCATCCACAACTAAATAAATACTGCATAACTGTCTCTTATAAATTATAACCTGTGGCCCTATCAAACTTTGTTTTTTTTTTTAATTACCTGGAGTTTACCTGGAGAGAGTTCCAAGGGTCAACACCCCCGTGGCCCGATCTGTGACCAGGTCTCCTGGTGGAATCAGAGCCTGATCAACCAGGCTGTTACTGTTGGCTGCACACAATCCAACGTACGAGCCACAGCCTGCCTGGTCAGGTACCGACTTTAGGTGCTTGTCCAGTGTGGTTTACATGTGGGAAAATAATAATTACAGAGGGTACCACTAGAACACCTAGCATGGCTAGGCATTTCGGGCAGACTTAGATTAATTCTTAAATTTAAAATATTACAAATTATGAGGTAAGTTGGTATTATGGCTAAGTGACTGAATACTAGTTTGTGAGTTTAGCAATGTGAATGCTTTTGTTTTGGCACAATACATAGTTTCAGTATTTTAGTATCACAGGCCAACTTATGACTACTTAGGATTCATTATATTAAGATTGAGATTAATATTTCTGTTTATGGTCAAATGGGTGAGTGAGTAAGTGTGAACCACCTGGTGGTATTCGTGTGATTAGTTGACAGGGCGTATCAGGGAGATAAGACGTTTTCTAATGGTAGTTTTGAAGGTGATGAATGTGTCTGCAATTCTTGAGTTTTCAGGTAGGGTGTTCAAGATTTTAGGGCCTTTGACATACATTGAATTTTTGTAAAGGTTTAGTCGGACACGGGGAATGTCATAGAGATGTTTGTGTCTGGTGTTATGCCTGTGGGTTCTGTCACAACTATCAAGAAAGCATTTTAGGTAAAGGTTAATATTGGAATTTAAGGTCCTGTAGACGTAGATTGCACAGTAGTAAGTGTGGATGTACTGAACAGGGAGTAAGTTTAGATCTATGAAGAGTGGGGGGGGGGAGGTGTAGCCAGGGATGGGATTTAGTGATTATTCTTACTGCGGCTTTTTGTTGGGTTATTATTGGCTTTAGGTGTGTTGCTACAGTTGATCCCCAAGCACAAATAGCATAGGTGAGGTATGGATAAATGAGTGGTATAGCGTGAGAAGGGCATTTTGCGGCACGTAGTATCGTATCTTGGAGAGGATCCCAACCGTTTTGGATACTTTTTTGGTTATGTGTTGGATATGGGTGCTGAAATTCAGGTTGTTGTCGAGGTATAGGCCTAGGAATTTGCTCTCATTATGCCTGGCAATTAGAGTGTTGTCAATCTTAATGTTAATTTGCGCAATTCCTGCTCTGCTACCAAACATAATATAGTAGGTTTTGTCAGTGTTAAGCCTAAGTTTATTGGCTGTCATCCAAGTCGATATTTTGATCAGCTCCTCATTAACAATGGTGTTGAGGGTGGCAAGATTAGGGTGAGAGATGACGTAAGTCGTGTCATCAGCAAAGAGAATGGGGTTCAGGTGTTGGGATACGTTTGGAAGATCATTGATGTATATGAGGAAGAGCAGGAGACCAAGGACACTTCCCTGCGGAACTCCAGTATCAAGTGGCCGTGTTGTTGATGCTGTGTCTTTAATGGTGACATACTGATACCTATTAGTAAGGTAAGATTTGAAATATGCAAGCGCATGGCCTCTTATACCATAGTGGTCAAGTTTGTGGAGTAGGATGCCGTGGTCTACTGTGTCAAAAGCTTTTCTTAGGCCAATAAAAATTCCTAGTGGATATTCCTTATTTTCCAATGCTGTGTAGAGCGATCTAGCATTTTTATGATTGCATCATTAGTGCTTTTATTTTTCCTGAATCCAAATTAGCAGGGGTTGAGTATGTTTTGTGATGTTATAAATGAATATAGTCTCCTGTGCACGAGTTTCTCAAAGATTTTGGATAGCAATGGTAAGTTTGATATTGGCCTACAGTTGTTTAAATCTGTAGGATCACCACCTTTATGTATTGGTGTAACCCTTGCCGTCTTGAGTAGTTTTGGGAAGGTGCTAGTTCCTAAGTGACTTGTTAAAAAGTAATGAAATAGCATGCAAAAGGACATGGGCCGCTCTCTTGTACAATAATGGTGGGACACGAGACAGATTCCCTGAGTTATTTATAAGTGACTTTATAATCTTGGTGACTTCCGTGGGCTCAGTTGGTGCAA